TATGTGCCGTTGAGTTGGCCCCGACTCATAGTAGGCCCCGACTCATAGTGACCCCTCCTTGGGTTTCCGAGACAGTATCACTACGGAAGTAGGATTGCCCAACCTTTCTTCCAAGGAGTGGCTGGTGGGTTTGAACCGCCAGCCGCCTGGTTAGCAGGCAAGTGTCTTAGCCACTATGCTACCAGAGCTCCCAAGTTTAGTAGAAGAAAATTAAGGACATTTTAGTATGATGCCTTTTAAATTTCTCAAAGAAATACAATTTGAATGGGGAAATGGTGACTTCAGAAAAGAGCTAGATGTGGGTTAATACAAAGTGATGAGAGAAACATTCAGAGAAGAGATTGAGGAAAACAGAAGTGTTCACTGACTCTGGGGTCAAAGACTGGAGAGTTGGTGGTAACAAGCTGGGTAATGAGCAAGAAAGTATACCGCACTGTGACAGTAATGGTGTTGTATGCCAGTGTTTCTTGAACTTTAATGTGCACATACAGTGCCTGGGGATCTTTTAAAATGAAGCAGTAGGTTAACAGTAGGATATGAGATTTTTCATTGTTAATATGTTCTTAGGTGCTGCTGGCCCGTGGAGTACACTGGGCAACCTACTTTTGAGGAGGTACTGCCTTGGAAACCCAAGGAGGGGTCGCTATGTGTCACATAGGACGGCAGTGAGTGAGAGAGAGGATTAAAGGATGTCCTGGTGGCACACTGGTTATGCACTCAGCAGCTAACCAATTGCTTGGCATTTCAAACTCATTAGCCACCCCATGAGAGAAAGTTGTGGCACTCTGCATCCATAAAGATTATAGCCTTGGAAACTCTACAGAGCAGTTCTATAGGGTCCTGTAGGGTCACTATGATTGGAATCAATTTGAAAGCAATGGGTATAGAGGATTAAAGACCTAGAAATCCTATATTTTGGACATTAATTTTGAATATAAAGATGAGAGTCATGGAGTATTTTGACTCAGGATCTTTGAGAAGTATGGGCCTTAAGCCTATTTTATGGCTACTTTTCTGGAACAAGGAACAAGGAGCTCTGGTGGTGTAGTACCTAAGGCTAACCAGAAAGCTGGTGGTTCAAATCCACCAGCCACTCCTCAGAAGGAAGGTTGGATAAGCTTACTTCTATAGTGATACCACCTCGAAAACCCAATGAGGGGTCATTATGAGTTGGACCCAACTCAATGGCAGTGAGTTTGATTTTTTAGTTTTGGTTTCTGGAACAATCATTTGTCAATGCTATTTTTAAAGAACCATAAAAAATTAACTTTCTGAACAATATGTGGTAGGGTTAAAAAAAACAAAAAACAAACTTATGGTCAGTGCTGAGAGAAGGGTTTAGCAGATAGTGGGGTTTCTCCTAGAGGCCAGAAATGATTTCCCGTGGTTGGCTTGTTGAGACACTGGGGGAAAATTATGTATATCTGTAGATGATGGTGAGTCCTCAACTAAGAAGCTCTCTGAGTTGCACTCTTGGAAGACTGCAAGAAGGAAATATATCAGACTGAATCTAAGCAGAAAAAGTCACAGAAACATCTGTGCCCTAGTATGTTGCAGAATCTATAAATTTAAAAGAAAGAAAGATGATATAAAATAGATTAATCACTCTTTCCCTGGTGGAATGGGCATTAAAAATAGAAATTGGAATATCACACATAATTTTTTAACTGAATTTTATACTCATTACAAAATAAAAAAATATCAGAATTTTTCATTAAGTCCATTTCATATGTATATTGTATAGGCAGAGTAAGTGAATGTGAAAATGCATGAAGTTTTTCAATAGAAAAATCAGAAACACAGAAGAAATTTCTCATTCCCCTATCTTTAGTGTTGCCATTAAAAAAAGCAGAAAAAAGGTAAAATTAAAGAGGACTGAATTAAGAAACCTGGGTCATAGACTGGATCAGCTAAATCACTGTATCTTCTTATATCCTTCTTTGAGATGAGCAAGAAGGGATAAATTGGAGATGGGAAGCAGCCCTGGGTAGACACTGCTAATCCATCATTTACCTGAAAAAAGTATCACGGTGACTTAGAATTCTTTGAAGTACAGTGCTTCACAGACTATGCTAATTGACTAAATAGATATCTACTTTGCCACTCCTGGTTTAAGGTTTTAATTAGTGTTCCTTTCATTTCCCTAAGGAGGAAACCAATTTTTATGACCCTTACTCATTTAAAAATATTTCAGAAAACGTTTGACATTAAGAAAGTAAGAACTACCATAAAATGAGAGGTGTAAGTGTCAAAAATGAAATTCTTTTCCTTTCTCCTATAACTCAAATACATGTATTTTTTTTTCCCAGACTCACCCTATTATGTAATAACATCTTCATTAGAGTAGAGAAATAGTGGGTTTATGGAATATAATTTACACTCTTCAAAATCACTTATTCCATGTAGTCACAGAGGTCATATTTTGAACTATTTAGATGTTGACTAAGTTCTCTTCTAATGAGAAGACTATATGCTTATTCACTGGGAATAGGAAAGCAAAAGCAAAATTTATGGTTTCATTGAAAGGGTTTGACAACTTCAGTTTATAAATGGTTTTTAGTAAGGATCTAAAGAGAAGATAAATTACCTATTATTTTATTGAATAGCCCTGGTGGCACACTGATTAAGCATTGGGCTTCTAATGAAAAGGCTGGCAGCTCAAATCCACCAAGGGATCCACAGGACAAAAGACTTCATGATCAGCTCCCACAAAGATTAGGAGCCTAGGAAACCCTATGGGGCAGTTTTACTCTATAGGGTTACTATTGGTGTAGTGGGTAAGACATTTGGCTGCTAACCAGAAGGTCAGTAGTTCAAATCCACCAGCTGCTCCACAGGAGGAAGATGAAGCAATCTACTTTTGTAAAGATGTACAGCCTTGGCAATCCAACAGGGGTCACTATGAGTTGGAATTGACTTGATGACAGTGGGTTTCACAGGGTTATTATGAGTCAGAATTTATTGGACAGCAAACAACAACAAAATCATTTTGTTACTGTTTATATCTTTACACATGTACACACACACACACATATATGTGGAGGTCCTTAGAGTTAACTAAAATCAGAAAGAGTAAATAATCCAGACATTGTTCAGAATAGTAAAAAAAAAAAAAATTAAAAATATTCATCAATTGAAAACCCAATTTAATAAATAGACTCTTGATGCCTGAGAGAAAATAATTCCCTATGACACAGTAGAGTCTTCAGTGAGATCAGTCAAGTAAGTGATATAAAAAGACTGAATATCATTGGTATTCAAGAAAGCATATATTAAGTTAAATTTGTTAACATAGTGAAAACATTCTTTAATATTTAAAATGTTATCTTGTACAATTTCAATTTTATAAGGTTATGTAGTCTTTGAAAATAATCTATTATAGGGACACTGTGTGGTGATAATACATTTTTTTTTCCATTATAGTATGGAATAATTCAGTCATAGAACATATCACCAACCTATTTGTTGCCTCTGGACTGAGACTATAAAAATACACTTATTAAGCTCCATATTGGATTATGTCTGATAGAAATATTAAGACTTTCATATTTAAAGAATGCAAGTGAATCGAGTTTTCATTTCGTCACTTTAGTAATATGCACATGTACTCAACTAACTTAACTCACTGTTGTTAAGACTGATCCGACCCATAGTGACCCTTCCTTGGGTTTACGAGGTGGTATCACTATGGAAGCAGATTGCCCAATCTTCCTTCCGAGGAGTGGCTGGTGGGTTTGAACTGCCAGCCTTCTGGTTAGCAGTCTAATGCCTTAGGCACTCGCCACCAGAGCATACTGAACAAAAATAGCAGGGGATTTTGATTAATCAATGTGATTTGCCAAACTTGGATAGTAATGTATAAAACTTTTATTATTACTGATATAATGAATTTTATATAACCATCAGAAGAAATCTAGATGAGAATGGTAGCAAAAATAGTAGAAAAGTAAGCTTTTTTTGGAGACAAGTGAATACAATTACCCATTTCCATTGAGTAATTCTGACTCATAGTGACCCTAAAGAACAGGAATTGCTTCATAGGATTTCCAAGGCATAATCATTATGGAAGGAGACTGTCACATCTCTCACCCAGGGAATGGCTCATGAGTTGAAACTGCCAACTATTTGGTTAGCAGCCGAGTTGCTTAATCACTGCTTCACACCATCCATAGATGTTATGATTAACATTTTCTTTTATTTTTTCATGTAATATATTAATATAGAAATTTGATTTTATTATTGAGAATAGTAGTAACAGCAGTAGCAGCAATATAGTCTTGCATTTAGTTTATCACATTATTTAAAGGCATAGCCTGTTTTTTTGTGTTTATTAATCTCAGATTTCGTGGCAGAGCATAGCACCCATGCTATCCTGGTTTTAGCATGTGCTCCATAGGTATAGAATTAAAAAAAAAAAATCTTATATAAATTTTTTAAAGGCTTTAAAATTAATAAATATCCAAGAATATATTCTCTCTGATGTTATAGCTTAAAATTGATTTTAAAGAAGAACATCAAGTAAATTTTACTTTGATGTCTAAATACATTTAAGGAAGCTGGAAGTGTATTAAGTTGCCTGCAATTTAGTACATTTATGTAGTGCTAAATGTAATTTGAAATGTGTTATACTAACACAAATACCCTTTAATTTAAATGGTAAACTGTAATTCAAAAAGTGCTATACAGTTAGTTGGGAATATTTTATTGTGTTTACCTTGGCTTTTTATATTGCACCTAAAGTCCTAACATCTGTATGTGTTTCATATATGTTCCTTATAACAGCTGTCCTAATAAAATGCTTCCAAGATTTTGTTCAGGAGATATATAGATTTTTTGTGTGGATTTTGCACACATTTTGATTCAATGGGTGTGTGGTAAGATACAAAATCCTGTATTTACAACAAGCAACCAAGTGATGCTGATGCTGCTGATATGAGTAACCCGTGTTCATCACCAAGGTCTTCCAATGCCTTGAAACCACCAGCACTAATTGCACTTACCTGATTTCTTTGTTGATGGCATCCAATTGTTCCTGAAGCATCATGGCTAGAGTCTGGGCATCAGAATGACCACTTGGAGAGAGAAGATCCATTGAGCTAAATATTGTTTCTCTGTCATCATCATCAATATCAGACATTTCAGTGTCACTTTCAAAATGATGACTGCTTAGCACTCCAATTTGTTGAGTCCTATTCCATTCATGATCCCCAAGAGATTTTACCTGAATAATAAAAATACAGTGTAGAGTAATTATCATTATCTTCTATAAAACAACTATAACAAAAAAGCACGTATACTTTTATAACTGATCTGGCAAAAGCAGAAACTATTTTTAACTTATCAATTTATTGATTAATGAAGTAGTACTTTTGACATCTTAAGTAATGATAGATGTTAATTGTGAGCATAAGCATCAATATTTTAATCCAAATAAAGATGATAAACCTCCTTATGAGTTCCAGTGCAATCCATATTCAAAGCAATATTTACTATAAGCTCTCTAAGTTTGCAATATTTTTTACTTCCAAAATAATAATATTAATTCATTTGTAGTCTAATATTCCCATTTCTTTACTGACTTTTTCAAATGGTTTAATAAATTTGTCATGTGCATGAGTCTTAAGTAATCAATAAGTTAGTGGTTTTTAAGCTGTGATATGAAAGTATGAAGGAGTTGAGGCTAAGAGGGAGGTTCTACAGTTTTCTGCAGTTTAAAAAATTAGTTTTCAATTTTGTGACCATATCAAATGATTTATCTGGAGTACCGTATTGTATTGTCCTAAGCACTGACTAAAGAAATGAGGACCTGTGTTAACATTTGTGTTACAAATTGTTTTGATACAGTTAGCACTAATTTATTTGTCATATAAGAAAGAGTTTATGTTAATGAGGAGGAACATCTCAGAAAAGGAGAGTGAGAACAGTTGCACAGCTCAAAGAATATAATCAATGTTACTAAATTTACATGTAGAAACTGTTGAATTGGTGTATATTATTCTGTGTATATTCTCAACAACAACAACAACAAAATAAATAACATTTAGGAAGAAAAGGAAAGATAAAAGAGATAATTGATTTATTTTTCATTTGTTCACTTATTTGTCCATTCAAAGGATTTTGGATGCTTATAATGAGGAATTAATTTGTATATGACATATTGGTACCAATTGAAAATAGAAAGTGTCAAGGTCCTGCGTACTAATGAACATATGCAGATTAATTAGTACTTTGGTTACATAAAAGTGGTTGGGGTAAACAAGATATACTTAGGACCATAGGAATTATACTAGTTCTCTATAAAATTTAACTACATACCTACCCACCACAGATAGCTCACAAAATTGTTATTGAGGAAATGAGAACCCAGTATGGCAGTGTATCTTTTAGAGTTTTCTTTCAATTGTCTATGTATATTTTCCCTAAAGTGTTTTTAAAATAACAATTTTAATTAAAATATTTAATTAATTTTGAAGAATAATATGAATGCCAGTGTTTATGTGTCCAAGCAAGCAAAAAGTTAATGTTTGCCAGCACAAAGTCTAAAACCATGGGAACCACGAAATGTAGGCTCAAGTTTTGATTATATCACTTGCCTGCTGTGTAATGTTTTACGATTAGTCTTTCTTAGTTTCATTCTTTTTATAAAAATTGTTATAAAAATAGTACCTACTTCATAATGTTATGTGGATAAGTGCATAATAATGTTTACTTCAATTTCTGGCACACATTAAAGATATATACTAAGTATTTTAAGTGGAGTCATATAATAAGTATTTTTAAAAATATATTGTAAGCTCCATTTGAAACTACTAAAAATGCTACCATTTTGAATTCCTTCAGTGCTGAAATTCTACCCAAAAGGAAATAGTGCATTTATTTAAACCTATCAAAGAGTTGAAATAAAGATCATTCACCTTTGGCTCATCTCTTCGCACACCCATGCGGCCTCTTCTCGGTCTTCTTATCACTTTAGTTGTTCTATAATCAGACTGGCTGTCCACTAGTGATCCCACCGAATATCGCAACTCAGCTGAGGTGTCTAGATGAGCTCTGAAAAAAAAGAGAAATATAAAATATATCCAATCTCACAAATTAAACTTATTAGCAAATCACTATTCACTGTTTGATTAGCAATAAAGCATACACCTTCAAGGAAATAAACCGCAAGAAAAAGTTGATGAATTTTCATGAACACTTTGATGCATCTCCAGAGGCTTATGTCAGAAATTCTAGTAGGTTCATTCCTTAAGGTCAAGTTCATTTTGTCCTTTTAGGATACACTTGTAATTTTTCTGTTCAATAATTATCAATATCATTTTTAAGTGCAGTAGTATAATAAGGCATATTAAGATTGATAATCAGTACTCTAATATGTGTTGGCTAATGTATTTGCTTTAGATACTTATCAATGAAACTAAAAATGCGTACATATTTGAGGTCCCAGATATTTTAAAATTTTGGAGAAATGTGTTCATATTTCTTCTCTGTATTTAATGTCAATTTAAGGACTCAACAAAAAGATTATAATTAGATTGAGCTAAGGTTAATTATTTTATTATTTTAATAAAATTAGATATATACCCAGAAAAAAATTTTCAGCTTATGATAAGACTATTCTAAAAACAAAATAGAGAACACTCTTTGGATAAACACATTTGACTGAAGTCTGCTTACAGGCAAAACAGTTGGAAAATTTCAGTTGGAAAATATTATCACACTGGTTTTCAATGAACCAGTAAAAAAGTACACTGTAATCAAAGTGCAGAAATAGTTTCCCCAAGCAAATTATTTATATAGAGATTTACAGATAATTCAGTTTATTGCTATAATAATGATGGTGCTAATATTAAAATAATGATGATGCTAATAGAAGCTACACGGTCTCGTATAAAATGAAGAAACAAATCCATCATCTATAGAAAATATGCTTAAAGCTGTGTTTTCTATTGAATGTCAGCATTCCTACTCATTCACTTCATTATATATCTTAGTTCTCTTTTTGAACAAAAACACAAACTGGTTGCCGTTGGGTTGATTCTGAGGCACAGCAACCCTGTAGAATAAAGCAAAACTGCGTCATAGGGTTTCCAAGGCTGTAAATCTTTATGGAGGCTAATTGCCATATCTTTTTCATGAGGAACAGCTGGTGGGTTCAAACTGCTTATGTGTCAATTAGTGGCCTAGCACTTTAACCACTGTGCCACCGGGGTTCTGAACAAAGACAAGTGTTCCTAAATATCCAGCAAGGTTTAAACAGGTGTGGGTTTGCAACATCAAGACTCTGACCTGATTGATGCAAGACCTTGTTTTTGGCAAAAAGGGATATTAGAGTACATGAACTATAGAATCATCCCCTAAAAAAGAGAATCGGCCATTGCTTATATGTTGTTGCTGTTATGTGCTGTCGAGTCGGACCCGACTCACAGTGACCCCTCCTTGGGTGGTATCACTACTGAAGTAGATTGCCCAAACTTCCTTAGCAATTTTAATTTTTGAAATCACAATTACTTGATTTAATCAAGTCAAATTATTTTATTGAGGAAAGCAGTAAAATATATAAAAAATGAACTATGAGGGCATACTTATAAATGGCACAACTATTAAACTTTACCTATTGAGTAGAGGCTGTAAGTCTCATGAAGGCAAAAGTCAGGTTTCAGTTGCCAACGTGTCCTCAGGGAACTGTGCCAAACATAAACCAAAACCAAGCCCACTGCCATGGAGTTGATTCCAACTCACAGTGACCCCCATTGAGTTTCTGAGACAGTAAAGCTTTACAGAAGTAAATTGCCTCATCTTTCTTCTGTGGAGTGGCTGGTTAGCAGTCAAATGCCTTAGGCACTGTGTCAACAGAGCTCCTAGTTCCTGACATGTAAGCAGTTAAGAGATATCTAATAAATTCGTGAAAGAATTAAATATGGTACAATACATTCCTAAATTATCTAGCTCTGAATATACCTCGGAGATGTTGTGGGTTTAGTTCCAGACCACCCCAATAAAATGAGTATCTCAGTAAAGTTAGTTGCACAAATTTTTTTGATTTCCCATTGCATAAAAAAGTTGTATTTATACTATACCATTGTTTATTAAGTGTAGAACAGCATTATGAATAAGTGTAATATTGTATTACCAAAATGTGATACAGAGACACAAAATGAGTACACTCTGTTATAAAAATGAAGCCAATAGACTAGCTTGACACAGGGTTGCCACAAAGCTTCAAATTGTAAAAAAAAAAAGCACTGTCTGCAAAAGGCAATAAAATGAAGCGCTATAAAATGAGATATACTTGTGCTATTTGCCTACAGTTGCTTAGATTGTCTTTCTGGTTGTCAGAGTGGAATTCCCAACATTATAACTTATTTACATTAGGAGTATTGTTTTATTGTTCTTTTATCTGCTATCAGCAAATCATTAATAAAAATTTGAAGCAAAACACACATCTGGTCACATTAATCTCCTGCTTAAAACTCTTTGCCTTCTTAGTTACTTAGGCTAAAGACCACAATATTTCACTCTCCTTACAAGGTCCTCTGGGAGCTCTGGTAGCATAGTGCCTAAGGCACTTGACTGCTAACCAGAAGGCTGGGGGTTCAAACCCAGCAGCTACTCCTCCGAAGGAAGGTTGGACAATCTACTTCTACAGTGATACTACCTCGAAAACCCAAGGAGGGGTCACTATGAGTTGGGTCTAACTCAATGGCACATAACAACAACAACAAGGTCCTCCACCATATAGGCCCCTTCTGCTTTCCAGCTACACTCCTAGCAACTCCCTTCTTTAATGTCCACTCAACCTGTACTGACATTCTTTCAGTTTCTTTAATAACTCACAATTTCTTTAATTCTGAACCTTTAAACAAGCTGTTCTTCAAACAGTCGCTTCACACCTTTTCATGGTTAATATTCTTAAGGTCGCAGCTCAAAAGTCTTATTGCCCTACATTGTGCTAACTACCTGTATCTCTGGTAGTTAAGTTTGTGTGTCAGTTTGGCTGAGCCTGGTGGAGTGGCTGGGCAATTGGATGTAGTTATTCCCTATGGTGAGATTGGTAATCAACTCCATTGTAGAATCTGCTATGAGTAGCTGAGTAGCTGCCTTGGGGATGTGGTCTGCTTCCTGTGTATAAGGAGAAGCCTTGGGGAACGGTCTCTAGCTTATGGCATGCTTGAACCCTGCATGTAGCTGTGTCATTGTTCAGCAACCTGCCATGCATTGGGACTTTCAATGCACTTGAATTAATGCTCTGCCATGTGGTTTGTTAACATCAAACCTGTGCCTTTTACTTGTCAACCTTGGGCTTGTCAGCCTCAGCAGCGAGCAGCTGTCTGAGTGAAGAAAAGCATCTAGTGTCAGTGGGCTGGGAGCAGGAGGCAGAGCTGAAGCCCAAGTTTGAGGGATTTTCACCCAGCCCCTAGTGCCTGGCACTTTGAACTTGGACTTAAAGCTTCCAACTCTAAGAAAATAAACTCCTGTTTGTTAAAGCCATCCCATTTATGGTATATTCTTGTCAGAGAGGTAGTAGGTAACCAGAACAATCCCCCATACTGTAATACTCCTTAAAATAATATTTCTATATTTTCCATCAGGAGCATATACTCCTTATGTCAAATATATTTCCACAGTTTAAAATCAGGAAGGGAGTGTGTCAAGATTGTATCCTTTCATAATACTTATTCAATCTGTATGCTGAACAAATAATCTGAGAAGCTGGACTATATGAAGAAGAATGTGGTATCAGGATCGGAGGAAGACACATTAACAAACTATGACACGCAGACAACACAACTTTGCTTGCTGAAAGTCAGGATGACTTGAAACACTTGCTGAAGAAGATTGAAGACTACAGTCTACAGTATGGATTACACCTCAATATAAGGAAAACAAAAATCCTCACTACTGGACCAATAAGCAGCATCATGATAAATGGAGAAAAGATTGAAGTTGTCAAAGACTTCATATTATTTGGTTCTACAATCAATACCAATAGAAGCAGCAGTTAAGACATCAGAAGACGTATTGCATTGGGCAGATCTGCTGCTAAGGATCTCTTTTGAATACTGAAGAGCAAATATGTCACTTTGAAGACTAAGGTGTGTCTGATCCAAGCCATGTTATTTTCAATCACCTCATATGCAAGTGACAGCTGCATGATGAATAATGAAGACCAAAAGAGTTGATGCTTTTGAGTTGTGGTGTTGGTGAAGAATACTGAAAGTACCATGGACTGCTAAAAAAGTAACAAATCTGTCCTGGAAGAAGTGCAGCTGGAATGCTCCTTGGAAGTGAGAATGGCCTACGTTGGTCATGTTGTCAGAACGAACCATTCCATGGAGAAGGATATCATCCTGGGTAAGGTGCAGGGTCAATGAAAAAGGGGAAAGTCCTCAAGGAGATGTATTGGCACAGTGGCTGCAACGACAGGCTCAAGTATACTATACTTGACCAGGCAGGACCAGGCAGTGTTTTGTTGTACATAAGGTCACTAAAAAGGAGACAACTTGATGGCACCTAACAACAACAACAATATCTCCAATGCACCAATGTCTGGCTGGTAGAAGATGCTTAACATATCTTGAAAAAAAAAGAGCCAAGCCAGTACCAATCTTAGAGATCATTGCTTATACTTCACCCAAAGAAGTAACTATTCACCTCTCTCATTTTATTCATCTCTCTGATTTGATTCTCTAATAGAAGAAAATGGAAGTAATATGTCTATACTAATTCAACTTCTCAAACCCACCCACATGGCAGAAGTACCTGGCAATCTGCTTTGTGAAGATTGTTGCTGTTTTTGTTGGATACCAATTCTGACTTATAGTGGCCTTATGTACAACAGAAAGAAACACTGCCCTGATTTGTGCCATCCTCACAATCCTTGCTATGCTTCCACCCACTGTTGCAACCACTATGTCAATCCATCTCATTTAGTGTCTTCCTGTTTTTCGTTGACCTTCCATTTTACCAAGCATGACATCCTTCTCCAGGGAATGGTCCCTTCTGACATGACCAAAGTAGGTGAAATGAAGTCTGGCCATTCTCACTTCTAAATGGCATTCTGGCAGCACTTCATCCAGGACAGATTTGTTTGTTCTTCTGGCAGCCTGTGGTACTTTCAGTATTCTTCTCTAAAACCACAATTCAAAGGCATCAACCCTTCCTTGGTCTCCCTTATTCATTGTGTGGCTGTCACATGCACACGAGGTGATTGAAAATACCATGGCTTGAGTTAGGGACACCTTAGTCTTCAAAGTAACATCTTTGCTCTTCAACACCTTAAAGAAGTCTCTTACAGCATATTTTCCTAGTGCAATACATGTCTGATTTCTTTACTGCTGCTTCCATGGGTGTTGATTGTGCATCCAAGTGAAATGAAATCTTTGACAACTTCAATCCTTTCTCCATTTATTGTGATGTTGTTTATTGGTCCAGTTGTAAGGATTTTTATTTCCTTTATGTTTAGCTGTAATCTATACTGAAGATTGTAGCCTTTGATATTCATCAGTAAGTGCTTCAAGTCATCTTCACTTTCAGCAAGCAAGGTTGTGTCATCTGCATATCACATGTTGTTAATGAGTCTTTTACCGATCCTGATGCCATGTTCTTGTTCATATAGTTCAGCTTCTCAGATTATTTGCTCAGCACACAGATTGAGTAAGTATGGTGAAAGGATACAACCCTGATGCATGCCCTTTCTGATATTAAACCATGCAGTATTCATTCGTTCTGTTTGAACGACAGCCTCCTAGTCTACGCAGAGGTTTCTCAGGAACATAATTAAGTGTTCTGGAGTTCTCATTCCTCACAATGTTATTCATATTTTGTTAATATCTACACAATGGAATGTCTTTGCATAGTCAATAAAACCTATGAATAGCAGTGAAACACTCTCTGATATATTGTAAAGATTACAGCCCCCAAACCCCAATATTGCTGTTCTACTCTGTGATATGGAGTCCTTATGGAATAGACAGTGACTTAGTGGTATACAACAACAACAATTCAAATTTTAAATAATATTTGCTGTCCTAAATTTTGAGAAGCTTCTTGAAGGTCTAAGTAGGTTACAATTTATTCATCAGTTCTTTAGGCCACGAATCATGTAATTTGTTCCTAACCCATTAAAACTGTATTGTTGTTCAGTTAAATCCAACTCATATCAGAAATATTAGTAAATATACAATTTTGTGATTGGATAATGCTAATGCCTTGTATTTACTGTTTTGGTATTTTAACAAGTCTTCTCCTCTTCCTCCATTATTATTATTCTTACTATATGAACATGTATCAGTGAATTACTATTTTAATTCAATTATATGTCAAAATAAAAAATAAAAAGAAACATGATTTTCTAAAATAAATAGCTAACACATCTATAAGTTACATATTGAAAGTGACATATTTATTTTTATCAAGATAGACAAAACCCCCTGCTCTTATGGAGCTAACGTTCTTAAAATAAAGTGAAAAATTGACTTCTAAAAGTCTCTGGTGAGCAGAAGTTTCAAATAGCTGAAATTATTTTGTTATCTAATAAATAAATTATTAAATGAGTCAATTATTTTAGTTTTCTCTTTATCAACTTTAAATATAAGTCCCTAAGGACAAAGGAAAATTATATGTGAAGCTTTGGTGGGGTAGTGTCTAGGGCATTTGATTGCTAACCAGAAGGTTGGTGGTTCAAACCCACCAGCCATTCCATGGAAGAAAGATGGGGCAAACTACTTCCATAAATACTTACTGCTTTGGAAAGCCCATTGGGGTTGCTATGAGTCAGAACTGACTTGATAGCAGTGAGTTTAGTTTTTGGTTTTATACACACACACACACACACACATATTGTGTGTGTATTTATTGTTAATCCTCTGTTTTTCTTTTAAGATCAATTATTGAATCAAAATAGATGAATATGCCCAGGTTTATTTGAATGTTTTTCATAAATGTTTAGTATCTTCTTCCCTTTATTTTATTAATAAAATAGATAGATGTTAAGAGACTGTAATGAATGATATTTATTCAATTACATTAAGAATTGAACACATTGCTGCATGCAGACAAAGGGCTGAGGCCTCTTCCTGGGATAAGATGCAATCTCTTTATAGACAGTTCAGTTTCTTCATTTAAGGATCATTCTATGTATTTATATCTATATAATTAAATACAATATAAGACAGGCAATGATTTAAAATCTTTTCTTGCATATCTAAAGGAAGCATTTTTATTTTAGAGAATTGTATTTGCATGTAGAAACTAAAAGAGTAAAGAATCAAAGACGTGTAAAGACTACTAAGGAGCAGAAGGTATTTCTTTCTTTTATTTAAGGAGATATGAAACCATAAGGAAATAAATACTGAAGTTTAGTGAACAATAGATAAGCCTTCTTTAAATGTTACCTTGATATTGCAGGTTCAATTAAAGAGCCAGTTCTCATTTTCATTTGGTCAAGTTCAGATCTCAGCTTTTCAATTTCTTCTGCTAATCTTTCCTGAAAAATCAAAGAAGTGTTATTCAGATATCATACATTTTTTTTCTCACTATCACAAATGTGAATCATACCTACACTTAATCATGAAAAACTAACCTTAATGGCTCTGTGAAAAAGAGAAATCTGATGCATGTAATTTAACTAAAGATTATTTATTGGATGTGATAATAAAATATTAGGTATTAAATTTCTCCTTGGAATGAAAATGTGAAAAGCAAAATTGAATAAAAATTTGTTCACATTCACTGGCATTAATTGATGCTCAATTTTTGTAAGCAGTGGCAATATCAAGATCAAGGCCAACTGTGTATATATTACTTCAAAATGCAAAATGTAACTCATAAGCAGTTTTAAAAAAAGAAAGAAAACCTCTTATTTATGCACCTAGTAGAATTTTCATTATTCTATGAGGGTTGAAGGACACTTGAGTGAAGGAGAAGGAAGATTGGATTGCAAGGACCAGTAAAAACTTATCACCTTTAAGAAGAAAATGTAGCAATTTAATTAGAAAATTATTATTAATAATTCTTTTTTACACATTTTTGTGATGCTAGTAATTTTCTCAGAATGTTATTATCTGTTTTGGTCTGTAAATTTACATAGACAGGGGTTGTCTTGTTGCCCTTAATTAAATGTCAATGTGGGATCTTAGTTTTGTTTTAATGATTATAACATTTATGCTGTTATAAATGTTTAATTGTGTCCTGAATTTTCTATTGCTTTTTTTTTGCCTCCCACAGACCAATGCTTCTAATTTCACTTTACTCGTATATATGTATCTTCTTATCACATAGTTTGTAAATGTGTCCTTTGCAATATTTCTCTCATCTATTTTTTTTCTCCGTACTATCACCATCTTAGGGGATCTGGTGGTGTAGTGGGTAAGGCATTTGGTTTCTAACCAGAAGGTCAATGTTTCAAACCCACCAGCTGCTCTGCAGAAGGAAGATGAGGTAATCTATTTCTGTGAAGATTTGCAGCCATGGAAACTCAATGGCTATGTCTATGAGTCAGAATCGACCTGATGCCAGTGGGTTTTGGGTATCACTATCCTACTACAGGGAGCTCTGGTGGCATAATGCCTAAGACATTTGACTGATAACCAGAAGGCAGGTGGTTCAAACCCATCAGCCACTCCCTAGAAAGAAGACTGGGCAATCTACTTCTGTAGGGATGCCACGTCAGAAACCCAAGGAGGGGTTGCTATGAGTCAGAGTCGACTCCATAGCAGTGAGTTTTATCAGGAGTTTATCCTACTATAAGCTGTTTCACTCTCTTCTCTGAATTATTTTAACCAACTTCCACAGAGATGGTGCTCCTGTCATGTACTCTCCATGCATTCCTATGTGAATGTACCATTAAAGCACATGTATGATCAAACAAACCCTTTGTTTAAAAATATTCAATAGTTTACTAATGGTTTTGTTAATCCAGTTGTTCATTATTTCCACAAATACATTGATCACCTTTTTGTGTGCCAGATAGCTAAGATGGATCAGTGAAGTGACAAATTTTCTGTCTTCATGTAGTGTACAATTTAGTGGAAAAGACATACAATGAACTTATTAGTGGGAGGGAGAAAATAGAGGGCTATACAAGGGGATTTTGATAAAGTGATATTTGAGCAAAGACCTAAAGTAAGGGAGAGAATAAAAACTGGGGGTATCTTAGGAAAAGGCTTGATAGAAGGAACTTGTTCTTGTTACTGGGTGCCATTGAGTCAGTTCTGACTCATAGTAGCCCCATGTACAACAGAACAAAACTCTACCTGGTCCAGCATCATCCTCATAAGCCCTATGTTTCACCACTATTCATAAGGTTTTCAGAAACCATTTTTTTCAGAAGTGAATGGTCCGGTCCTTCTTCCCAGCTTATCTTAGTTTAGAAGCTCCACTGAAACCTGTCCACCATGCGTGACTGCTGGTATTTGAAATGCCAGTGGCATAGCCTGCAGCCTCAAGGCAATATGCAAATCACCACAGTACAACAAACTGCCGGATGAGTGGTGAGGTAGAAGGACAAACAAGTGCTAATGCCTCTTATTTGTAGTATACTTGGAGATGTAGAGGGCAAGCAGCCCACTGAGTTGAGATTAGAAAAGTTATGGGGAAAACAAAGGCAGGAGCTCTATTTAGAAGCATTTTGGGGCTGGTAGAAGGGCAGATATGAAAGGCTCTGTAGACCATTTAAAGACTTTTATTCTGAGTGAGGTAGGAAATGACTTTGGGGTTTTGAGCAGAGAGTGACATGATTATT